CCTGCCCCACTGTTCCCATCTCCATCCCCACTGTTCCCATCTCCAGCCCCACTGCTCCCATCTCCAGCCCCACTGCTCCCATCTCCAGCCCCACTGCTCCCATCTCCAGCCCCACTGCTCCCATCTCCAGCCCCACTGCTCCCATCTCCAGCCCCACTGCTCCCATCTCCAGCCCCACTGCTCCCATCTCCAGCCCCACTGCTCCCATCTCCAGCCCCACTGCTCCCATCTCCAGCCCCACTGCTCCCATCTCCAGCCCCACTGCTCCCATCTCCAGCCCCACTGCTCCCATCTCCAGCCCCACTGCTCCCAACTCCATCCCTACTGCTCCCACCTGCAAAGCTGCCAGCATTGAGGAAACTGGAAAACTCAACCCAAACATTATTCCCAACTGCCAGCACTCCCCAGCTGCCAATGAACCAGGAATTTTTGGGAACACACCACAGGCATCAGCTCCTCCAAACCTTAAACACAGCCCTGGCCTTTGTGTGAGCCAGGAAAAGGTGGCCAGGGCTGCAAAGAGGCCAGCAGCCAATGCCCCACAGCACAATGGGGTCTGAGCTCAGTGAATCCCAAAATAAACCTGCTCCAAGGACTGGGACACTGTCCCCAGCTGGATTTTGAGTTCACTGCTGGATGAGCCAACAGTGGAGCTTTAGCTGTTCCTCCCTCCACGGTGGATTCCAGCCTGGCAGGTTTGGGGTTGGATCAACCACACACACACCACACACACACAGACACAGCTCACAGCCACAACAGAGAACCCTCAGCATCACAACCGTCCCAGCAGCCTCAGAAAACTGCAATTTCCTTTCCTCCCCCACCCAAAATAGGGATTTTTTTCCTCCAGGCCTCTCACTTACCTCTCCCATAGCCCGTCCCTCCAGAGCCAGCGCCTGGAAATCGTGATTCAGCTCGTCCATGGAACGCACCTATTCACAGATGGGGAGAAAAGGCCGTGAGGAAATGCTTTTATTTGCTGTTATTTTTATTATAATCAGAGTTCACAGCCATTTTTCTGCTCCAGACTGAGAGCTACATTCCACAGGAGAGCCTGTAACGAGGTTATGGAGCTCCAGAGCAAGACTTACCTTTAACACTCCCAGCAGTTGTAACATTTATATACTTTCATTATTATAGCCACACGTGGATTATTAAACACAGATTTATTTATGTGTGCTAGATTCATACAAGCACAAGAAAGGAACAACCAGCAATTACTTTTAAGAAACACAAAGCCCAACAACTGTCTCTGCTCGTATTTCACAGTGGTTTCAGGTGAGGGAGTCAAGGCATGAGGAGCCAGCATCATTCCAGGTGGGAATCAAGGAAAATCTCCTGTATAAACCTGGAAAATTTACATTCAGGTTACACTGACACGAGGGAGAAAAACCACAGTGGTTTGATTCGATGAAAATTGAGTTATTTAGAGCAGAAAAATGAAGTGTAAACTTGAAACTATTGGATAAATAAGTTGATAGAACCATAGAGTGTCCTGACTTAAATGGATCCATAAGGATCATCCAGGCAAACTCCAGACCTCCCAACAACCCCAGCCTGGGCATCCCTGCAGTGGTGTCCAAAGGCTCCTGGAGCTCTGCTGGGTGAGTTACAAGACCAAAAAAAAATTCCAAATATTGTTTAAATGCTCATGGCCCACCTGTGAGACCCCCCTCACTGACCCTAACCCTGATTTCTGATCCTGCAGCACCACTTCCAGCAGGACCCAGACCTTGTGGGTGCTTCATTCCTACTCTAAGACAATATTCTGGAGATCTCAACTAAGAATCAGCGCCACATTCACCTCCAGGAATCCCCTCCAATCTAAATTCTTCTATTCTGTGGCCATCACACCTTACAAAAGGTTAGTGGTGTATTACTGAATTATTTAATAGATATTTACATAATCAGTAAATCCTCAGGGGTCAGAATCCCAGTTTAAAAGTCAGGTATCTCCTGTGGCTGTGTCTCAGCTCGGTTATCTGCAGTTCTGCATCAGCCCTGCCACCTTTTGCAGTGACATTTGTCACGTGGGCACCGACACAGAGTGAAAACCCTTCCCAAAAGCGCAGCCCAGAGCCTCTCCTCCCCTGCCAGCTCCATCCCTGCTCTGCAGCTGCCACACAAACGGCACTGGCACCAAATTCTTCCGTGGAGCACTTGGAGCTGAACTCGTGGAAAGTGCTGCAACCCCCAGATGTGCCAAACCACACAAGCTGGCAGAGAGCAAATGATTATTTCCATCAGACATCAGAGGAAAGGAGAAGTTGTACAGAGAGGTTCAGAAGGTGACGTGAACTCATCGCTGCTCAAGTGATGTCCCAGCAAACCACAAAAGCCACTGCAAAGGCTGCTCCCAGTGTGTCCAGCAGCTTCCCCAAAACAAATCATCCCCCTGGCTGGCAGCTGAGCTGTGGGAGCCTCAAAACAAAGCTGACACAAAGATCCAACCCCTGCACTCCCAGCAAAATCCAGAAGGATAAGAAGTGGTGTATGTATGTGATTTGGAATCGTGGAATGGTTTGGGCTGGAAGGGACATCAAAGCTCCTGCAGTGCCACCCCTGCCACTGTCCCAGGTGGCTCCAAGTGCTGGCCAGCCTGGCCTTGGATGCTGCCAGGGATCCAGGAGAGCCACAGCTTCTCTGGAATTCTATCCCAGCCTCTCCCCACCCTCCCAGAGAATAATTTCTCCCATGCATCCAGTTTAAAGCCATTCTCTGTCAGTTTGAAGCCATCTCCTCCTGCCACCCCAGGCTCTTGTCAACAGCCCCTCTCCTTCCTCCCCTGCAGGCACTGGCAGGACACAATGAGATCTCCCCAAAGCCTTCTTTTTTGCAGGCTGAACAATCCCAACTCCTCAGCATTTCCTGGCAGCAGAGGAATCGGGATTGTTCAGCCTGGAAAAGAGAAGGCTTTGCGGACTCGGTGGCTCCAACAGGATAATGTCACACAGGAGGAACAGGCTGCCTCCATCCCCTTCCCAAATATCCCCTACCCCAGCCACCACAAAAAACAGAAATAAAAACTGCCTTCTCTAGCAGCTGTCAGAGGTGAGGAAATGAAGAAATTATTCATTCACAGGTATTTCACATCCTTTATCGTCTCTCTTTCAAGAATCCTAACAAATATGGATGAAAGCATTTTCTAAATCAGGTCTTTGTGCCTGATTTTGGTCACTGTGCTCAAAGTGTCCATAAACAGCAATTCCCAGCTCTTTCTCTCAGTCACACACTTCCTTTACCTTCATTGATCATTGGATCCATTTATTTGATTTTCAAAGGCTGCACCCAAAGATCCTTTTCCCATTTCTCAGCCTGTAATGTTAAATAGCGACACATTTTCACCTCGTTGCACACAAACATCACAGGGCTCCTTTGTTTTCCTTCCAGGAAGAACAAAGTGTCTGAACCAGCAGAACACAAAGGCAAAGCCGTGACTTCCAACACCTCTGCATTCCAAAAGTCAGGGATTCCTCTGGAATGGCAATGAAACAACTGAGCTGATCTTCCACCTCGTCAGGATCTGCTCCCGTTAAAGACCCCTGAGTTCTGAGGAGCGGAGAGCAGAGCCAGGATGGTGTAAACACCAGAAACTCCAGAGTCAGAAGCTGTCCCCAGACGAGCACTGACGCCGATGAGATTTGATTACCAGAAAATGTGGCTCACCGCTGAGGCAGGGATTTGAGAGAAATCCAGAAGACAACGCCAGGATCAATCCATGCCCTGACATCCAGATCCAGCGTGACAGCCTTGAAGGGAGGGGAGAGCTCACAAACTCCAGGAATCACACAAGGAGAGGGCAGCTGGAGTCCCAGTCGTCACTCTGGAAGTGATCCAAGCAAACCTGACTCCTGCTGCTCCCAGCCAGCAGCACCCCAAGGCTGTTCCAGCCTGTCCCAGGCAGACTGTGCCTCTGGAAAGGGATGCAGAGTGCACACCCATCCTCACAGGAGCGAGCTGCTGCCTTCCTGAGGGTGACAGAACTCCTCCCTCCTGCTCACTCTCACTCTGGAACCCCATTCACAAAAGGAAGGCTCTGGACACCACGCTGTTCCTAAGGAGTTACACAAGAACATCCCTCCCCTCGCATGGGACGCGTGGATGCGCTCAGGAGGAACGGAAATCTCATTCAGGAAGAGCAATTTCCACACACTAATCCAGGAATGTGTGTCACTGTAACACACTGCAGCTCCAGCCTCTCCCCTGGCTCCAGAACCGTTCCCTGCCTGCCCGCTGGGAGCGAGTCCCGGGTGGGATTCGCTGCAGCCACGCCAGGAACTGGAGCAGAAGCACGGGATCGCTGCAATTCCTGAGCCTGGGAGAGCTCAGCATCACCTCTGCGCTGGAAAACATGGCATAAAGCAAGGCACAGCTGGATTCCCACTGCACACCC